ATAACTCTAGACACAAAAAGAAACCTACTTAAACTTGCGTGGGAGGTTGGCTGATTGAAAGCCAGTTTTCTCTATAGCAAAAAAAATTCAATCGGACTTACAACTGACATCAGATCAATGACTTAAAGGTATGATTGTGAGCATTTAACTCAAATTTTGAAAATGCTGATTATGGATTATGGACTTGAGTGCATCGGATCACATCACCAAAGATATCTATATTTCACAAAATTAAAAAATTAAAAAATTATTGTCAAATCCTCATTGAAACTCATCACATAAAATCAATTGATCTCCACTATTTCTTTCAAAGTATTTAATTGTTCTATTTTTGCTCACATTCAACCTTATGAAATGAGTAAACTTGATCTAAGAGTCATAAAGTGTATTTATTGGTTATTCACAAAACCAACAAGATTACAAATGTTATTATCTAACCACTAAAAAAAGTTATAATTATATGGACATTACAATTTTTGAAAGATAACTTTCTTCTCCAAATATCACTTTTAGGGAGAGAATTCAAACTCTCTCAATGAATATAAGTTTAGCAAAAATATCTACCCTCTTTTGAGACTACACTCTCTTTGAACAACTCAAATCTTATGCCCCTGACAACACTAAAAACTCCCAACATCGCATATAATGAGCTAAATACAAAGTAATTGTTTATACCATATGTCAGGGAAATTGAACAAACAAAGGGGATCAAAACATTTCTTTAGAGCAAAACCACATGTTTGACCCTATTTGTCGCCTATCAGTTGTAGGTAAAAAAGCTGTAGCAGAAGTGCTTGATTTTGTTGCATACCCAGGAGTCTTGAGAACCTTACTTGCCTGACATTCTGATTTGCTGTTGGATGATTAAAGATTGAAATAGCTTCTACATCTCCGTGTCTTGGATATTATCTATACAGAGATTGAGGTGCTTCCTGACTTGATAGAAATACTATTGCATTTGAGGCATCTTAATTTGATTGATGAATACTTAAAGGAAATACTAGAATCCATTGGGCAATTAACATGCTTATAGTATTTGAACATTCCTGAATACGTTTATTTGAGACAACTTCATATTAGAATTACTAGGTTATATAATCTAAGGCACCTTTATCTTTTCAGAACACCTGTTACTTTCATACCACAAAGAATAGAGAAACTAAAAAAGCTTAATTATCTAAAGGATTTTGTGTTGGCCAACAATAACAACTGTAGCAATTTGGTAAACTTGATTTCCCTAAAACATAAAAGAATTTTATGCCCATTTATAACTTATAGTGAGCTAAAAAATGGATATCTCAATGAATTACCTTATCATTATACTTTGAAGTTCGCTACTCCAAGTACCACTCAATTCAAACTGAGGGACAATATTTGGCTATAGAGGTGCAATTAAATATGATGATACCTCCACAAAGCCTAAAAGAGTTATTTATATAACTTCTTTGACCGCCGTTTCCCCAAGTGGATGGTTTTGTCATCTTTTCAATTTTGTGTTCTACTGTTGACTAAACTAGAATTTGAAGGGATAAGTTTATGGACTTATCTTCAATTACCTCAACTTAAACAACTTAAGATTTGAGTTGTCATTAAAGTGTAAAATATTGGCCAAGAATTTCTTGTTGTTGGTATCAATTCAACAACCAAGATTGCTTTCCCAAAGCTTGAGATGCTTATATCAATAAAATGGATGAGTTAGAAAGTGATATTTTGATACAAAAGTAGAGAAAATGCATCTCTAAAGCTTCAGTTGTTGTCATATTTATAAATTTTAGACATCAATCATTGTCCGTTATTGACATATTTTTCAAAAGGTCTATAATAATCGCCTATGAAGTCACTAAAAATAAGTTAATAGTTTGATATCAATGAAGGAACTCCTTATTGAAATTGAGGAATAGAAAATATCTATTTGTATTAATTTTATAAAAGTATGTTGTCCTTATTCATTAAAGAAGCATGTTATTGACCACTTTAGAGCCTTATTTTCTGTTAAAAACTTTGATTTAGTGCAGGAATTGCATTACCTTAATTCTTATAATGAGTGCCTTACCTTAATTCTTATAAGGATCATGGAAATTCAATTTTGACAATGAAAAGAAGACCAGGCTTTACAGATAAAGATAATGAGCTTCTTTAACATAGAAAGCTAATATAACTTTTCCAAATTTATACAATCAGATATGCTCAATTCCTTAATTTTAGTACAGAGATTGTTCATTGATCTCAAGCTCTATGCTCTTATATGGAGTGACTTCATAGCCAAGTATTTTAGACCTTTTGTAGCTATTTCAGCAAGGGACAACTAGTGATGTATAATTTAAGTCAATATGGTAGCAACTTAAGATTTGTAGATGCAATTTTTCTCAACTTGTGCATCAAAAAACCAATTTTCTAAATCATTCATTTTGTTGATATAAAGCATCTCGAGATATGGGAAAGTAATCAAGGTTATCAAATTGATGCCAACACCAAGAAGTTTCAACCTATTTTTCTTCACTTTAGTCTCAAATCAAATCTTAAGCTCTTTAAGCTTCTACAACTAGCCTAAGGAGGGAGCTGAGTGCATGATTTTATCAGTTGGAATTCTAGTTTAGTCAAATTTGAAACACAAATTTCATAAGATGATAAAATCATCCAATTGGTGAAACGACGACTGAAGAAGCCACATATGGTGAATTTTTTTAGGCATTGTGGAGGTATCATCTTATTGAATATAATAACTCTTATGCTGCCAACTCTTGTTCCTCACTTAAGAAGTTGGAATTGAGCGGTCCATGGAGAATTGCAGCATAATAGTAGAAATCTAAGTTAGTTTTTTTAGAATTATAGTTCCACTTTGAGATTTCTTTGAGTTGCAAATGTTAAGTGTTCTTATTCGTTGAAGAGAAACTCTTCTAATTTGCTGCTAAAGTCCTTGTTGGCCACCACAAAACTATTTGAATAATTAAGTTGTTGTTGTTTCTCTACTCCTTGTGGAAATAAACAATATTAATTTAATTGGAATTTTCTTTTTTTTATTTTTAATGAATTTTCTAATTTTTGGATTATGAATTATTTAATTATCCTTTTATTATTATTTTCTTTATGTTTTAACTTTCTCATATTCTTTTTGAATTATTTCTAATATTAATTTTTAGCTGCACTTAATTTTCTTGAAAACTTAATTTTAAAAGTAGTTCTAATATAATTAAATTATTTAGTTATATTCTATTCAAATTTATTTACTTCTATTAGCCTTGGTTTGATTTCATGCTTAAGTTTTAATTTTAAACTATATTTGTCTCACAATTCTAATTTAAATCCATTTATATTATTTAACTATCGTGTATGTATTATTATTCCGACTTACTGAAATTTAATTTTGAGTTCAGCTATATATGCAATAATTGAATTTTATTTAATTAGATTTTCATTAGCATTGTATTTTTGTTTAATTAATCACATCTTCAGGTTGATTTATCTTTAATATTATTTTATTTCAAATCTTATATTTAATCTATACATTAATTTGATTATGTTGATGAATTTATTCATTAATTAATTACAGCATATTCTATTTACTATTTGAATGTAAAAATTTAATTTATATGAATTTATAACTATTGAAGCAAGATTAAAACTATTAATCAAATAACCCTTAAATATTTGAAGTCTCATATATTTGTAACTTATTTTAGGATGTGAACTAAGTTCTAATAATCAGATCTATAACATGAAAATATAATACCTACTGACATAACTTATAATTTGCACAAGAAGGGATTAACGTGTGTGTAAGACTTTTTTATGAACTACTTTCAGATGTAAAATAAAGTAAATTATTATGAGGTTCAAAGGGACTAAACTTTTAATGGGGAAGTCGAATCGGATGAGATTAATTTTATTTCATCAATTCGATTAATTACAAAAGTATGACTTGAGGTTTTCTTAAACTATCATTCTAAATAATTAATGAACAGTTATTGAAACTCAATAGAAGAAATTAAGTGTGAATTGAACTATGAAGCATCTCCATTTTATCAATAATTTCAACAGAGCATATGCGACATTTATAAACCTTTCGTGAAACTTACAAAGTGCTGAAGAATGCGTATTGGTATATATACATCGGCAGAAAAGTTCAGCCATTAAACATGAAGCATATATGATAGTGGTAGCTAACAATAAATTAATATGAGAGAAAGCTACTTTACCTTTTTAAGGGCTTGTTTGGTTCAGCTTTGATGTTTCAGAGCTTTACCAAGCAGCCGAGAACAAAAAGGAGCACAAGGTCTCTTGTCTTCATTGGGATTTAACAGAAGAAAGTTTAATTAACTTGAAAAACATAAGACATATATTGATTTACTAACAAAGCTTATAAGGACATTGATACCTGCTTCTTTATTTTGCCTTTTTGTAAATTATGGCAGTGACTGTGGTTGTATCAACTCATGGCAGACAAAACCAGTAGGATAATCTCTGGTCTTCACCAATTGATTCAGAACCACCAAGCAAGGAAATCAACTCAGAAACTAGCTCCCTTCACGCTGCCTGGAAGAAGAGAACAGCTCTTAGCTCTTTATGTTTTTTTTTTTTTTGGAGAAAAGGAGTGGTCCAGCCTCTTAAAAGCCTAGAGTTAATGTTGTGTGCAGGGAATCATGGAGAAAACAGGAGAACAGCGACTGGCATTTCACATTAGCCGTTTGATCGGGTTTTGTATTGATTTAGAAGGGCTTTACTTACATGATAGTAATGATTGAGTGCTACATTTAGAAAGGATAAACCTAGTTGATTAGATTGAATTAGGCTTGCTTCGATTTTAAATTGATCCGAACAAATTTGGTTTTAATCGTATTTAATTGCAGACCTCTCATCATAACCAAATTAGCTTACTGCGAGCTAATGAAATCTTGATTCATTAAATTATATATATATATATATATATATATATATATTCATGCTCTCGGGCAGTGACTGTGGTTGTATCAACTCATGGAAGACAAAACCTGTAGGATAAAAATCTCTGGTCTCCTCCAATTGATTCGCAACCACCAAGCAAGAAAATCAACTCAGACACTAGCTCCCTTCACGCTGCCTGGAAGAAGAGAACAGCTCTTAGCTCTTTATGTTTATTTTTTTTGGAGAAAAGGAGTGGCTCAGCCTCTTAAAAGCTTAGAGTTAATGTTGTGTGCAGGGAATCAAGGAGAAGGCAGGAGAACAGCGACTGGCTTTTCACATTAGCCGTTTGATCGGGTTTTGTATTGATTTAGAAGGTTTTACTTACATGATAGTAATGATTGAGTGCTACATTTGGAAAGGATCTTAATACTAAAGAAATTAATGTTGAATGGACAAGGAGAGCAAATCTGAATTTATCAGATAAGCTCAAGTCGATCTATTTAGGCGATGTAATCTAGTCCAGTGCACTAATGGACAACCCTTGATGTTTTGCATACATAACAGCAATTTAAGCTGACTCCGTTCTCTGCTACTTGGGTGGCCTCCGTCGTCTGCTTCGTTTCAGGAAAGTTCTCTTCTTCATTCTCTAAAGCATTTTTGGTCAGTATTTATCACTTTTTTTCAAATTTGAAAAAGTTACAAAAGTGAGGTTAAGAACTTCATAATCGAGTGCTTTAACCCTCTTTGTAACCGTTTCACTAATGGACAACCCTTGATGTTTTGCATACATAACAGCAATTTAAGCTGACTCCGTTCTCTGCTACTTGGGTGGCCTCCGTCGTCTGCTTCGTTTCAGGAAAGTTCTCTTCTTCATTCTCTAAAGCATTTTTGGTCAGTATTTATCACTTTTTTTCAAATTTGAAAAACAATCACATCATTACCAAAGATAGTTTTTAGGCCAATGCAATCAATTGAAAACAATAGAAAAATATAGAAAGATTGTTAAATATTTTTAATTTGTTGCTCATGAAACATCGTATGATGATTTTGATAACGTGTCAACATATATTGAAGTTATTAGAAATTTACATATGATGGAGTGTTAACAATTAACGAGCATTATAAGTAATTGGAAGAGTATAATCAAAAGGCACATAACTGTCATATAGCTTTGAACTTTAACATAAACAGAAAAAAAAAGTTGCTAAATGGTGCCTAAATAGCTTATTTTTATAATTATGATATAATGGAGCTAAGTAAAACATGAAAAAAAAAATAATACCTATAGATGTAATTTTATACCTATAGAGGAATCGCCCCTGGGGCACAACTCCTCTTTGTTCGTCCTGCTCGGTTCGCTCTTCCTTCTCCTCGTGATCAGCTCGCCTGCGGCTCTCTATCTTGGTTTGTTTAAGCCCCTCAGTTTGGCCCCGGGGAAAGACCCCGCCTGCTATTAAAAGAAAAACAAAACAATAAACAAACCACACTACTAGCTACAAGCAAGGCTATACATGGGAAATATTGTTAGCTTTAAAATAATATAGAGCAAAAAAAAAAAAAACTAAGTGCAAATTAATAAACTGAATTTAACAACTAATATTTGATTCAAATAATTAATTAACATGTTAATTAACACAAGGTTTGGCATACAAGTTTCTCTATTTTCTATTTCATCCTCATGCTTCATGTATTGCACGAAATAATGAAATACTTCAAAAGGTTGCTTCTACAGAACAACCCTTTTATCAGAAATGGCAAATGTGCGATAGGAAAAGTTGGGTCAGTTGGGTTAGAAAGAATGATTGAGAAACAACCATCCAACCATGAAGAACAAAAGAAGCAAAACCAAAATAGCCAAATCAATGCAAAAACCCTAGCAGCTAGGTGCTAGCCAAAAAAAAAAAAGAGAGTAAAAAACTAATAAACCATACAACTTAGCACCTAGCAGCATGACCGTCTCATCTTGGAGAAAATTAGTGAGCAAACTAACGAAAGCCTCGAAGCCCATCTCTTTTTTTTGCTTTGCTGAAGAAAGAGAACAGCTTAACTTGCAGGATTTTACTAGAAGCTCGTATGTTTAAAGGAAGATAGGTAGAGATGGAGAAAAAAAACTCCCCTTGGAAGGCTTTATTGGCAATCACTTTTGGATGATCGTTTTTGGCAATCAGGGGAGCTCTATTTGTTTCCTTACTTCTTTTAGGCTGGTTTTGATGTTTTTTTATCCCATTTTGAGTCCATTTATTACTACCTTGCTCTATTTTCTTAGGTTGTAACTGGTCTCAACTTCTCCATTATAGTTTTCTATTGAGCTTTGTTACTCGTTTGGTTGCATCTTGGAATATTCGTGGCAGTAGAGAGATATAAAGTTTAACCTCTTAGCTTTGTACGAAGATCCACCTCACAAACAGATGAGAGATAGGGGTGCAACGTTCAAAAGAGACGTTAGAGTTTTTACGTGAAAACCCATAAAAATGAGAAAAACCACGGGGCCTTGCTCATTTAAATGAATCCAATAGTGTTTGTAGTTAATTACAAATGAGATCCTTCATTGGGAGGAAGAGCTTGGCTCGATGTAACAAATGTACATCATATAGAGTGTATTACATGGTGAGAGTTGGAAGAAACAGTGTTGACATATTTGTTTAGACGGCACGATCATATTTGGCGAGAGATGTAGATCGGAAGGATTGTATTCACGTGATGGTGGTTGGAAGGACTATAGTTGGACGACGGAGATTAGAATGACTGTAACCAGACGATGGTGGTCGGAAGGACCATAGTTGACGGAGGACTACTTTAATATAAATAAATAATAGAATTTTTGTCCGTACAGAATTGTGGCATTGCAAATCCAATGTCAAGACGTTGTGGACCCCAACAGACAAAAGACAAAGCACCGCAAAGTTGCAGTCTAGCACTACGAACTATGAACTCAATGTCATTGTGTTGTACGTTCAGCATCATGATGTTGCAAAGGCGTTTTGAGACAAAGGAGATAGCGTCGAGATGTCATGAGTCTGTTAAGTAAAATTTATCTTCTTTTTTAAGAGTTTTATTCAATCAAAGTGGATATAACTCATGAGAAACTCTTGTATTGATGTTTATACCATCGTATGCTACTCTATTTAGTATTTACATATTTAACATCTAAAACTTTAATATTACATATATATCACTCATAGTTCATTTTCATATCAAATGTGTGTGGTAGAAATGAAATATATGAGTGGTAGGAAAGAAATATGAGTGATATATTTGATATTAAAATAATATAGGGTGGTATGTATGTAATATTAAAATTTTGAGTGTTATATATGTAAATAGGATGGTATAAAGTGATATGTATGTAAATTTCCCTTATATTTTTTTATCTACTCATATGATTGATTCAGAAAAAAGGTTAATTGGAACCTAACTTTAAACAATGGAACTCAGAATTTGAAAAAAAGGATGAAATTGGGTCAAAATTAGTCTTGGTTTGGCTTGGTTATAGTCAATTTGGGCTCAAGTTAGATTAGGTAAGATTAATCTTAATGGGATTGAATCCAAATAGGTGTCGGTTTGAGCTAAATTTGACCCAATTTGAATTGATTCATATTCAATCTGCCCAAACAATTTAATTAATCTAAATGGAACATATGATCAAGATAGATAGAAAGGAAGAAAAAAACTCACGTGAAAGCTTTAATGGCAATCACTTTTGGATGGTCCTTTTTGGCAACCGGATAGCTCTATTTGTTTCCTTACTTCTTTTAGGCTGCTTTTGATGTTTTTTTACCCGTTTTGAGTCCATTTTTTTATTACATTGCTCTATTTTCTTAAGTTGTAAATGGTCTCAACTTCCTCATTATAGTTTTCTTTTGAGCTTTGTTACTAGTTTGGTTGGATCTATTAAAAAGATTTGTTTTTTTTCTAATTAGATTGGGTTGTAATAATCCTCTCTCTCTTTATGTACTTTCTAATTAATGAAACTGGACTATGCTCCTAAATTTTTCTAAAAAAAGGAAAAAGAAATACTAAAATAATAATAGAAATATTATATTTTCATTAATATATACTGAGTTGCTTCTTAAATTGAAATTATAAAGCATAAAAAATAAATTACTTCATGAACAGATATTATCTCATCTTATTAGAGAAATCGCTAGAGATAAGATAAACATGAGTTGTTAGAAGTTGTTCTGCATTTAAACAAAAAAAAATTTATATATAAACACATATAAGCTAAATTTTATAAGAAAAATATATATTAAATGATTTTTTTAATCAATAGAATATCCAATATTAAAGAAAAACTAATATATCAATTAATAAAAAAAAAACCCAAACCTCAACGCAGACCGTTAGATCATGACAAACTCCTCTAATCCTAGCCTTACACCTGTACCCCACTTGTAAATAAGTGTACAGCTCAATTACATGAAAATGGCAATTGTCATTTCCTCATCTTGATCTGTCTCTATAATACTTCGGTTCTTGCACCTCACTTCTTATAGTTATAGTACTATTTAAGGCCGTGTAATTATATACTATTAAAACCAATTTTGTAAAGTTGAAGCGAAGTGTTCAAAGACTTTGACTGCAGAAGTTTCTTTATTAATGATACTACTTTTTCTTCTTTTTTTTTTTTACGAGGAAGTACTGTCCTTAGGCTAGTGTAAACCCCAGTCGACCTAGCATGCAACCCACACCAATTTACACGGGCCAACACTTAAGGCTTTCACTGCTTGCCAAGGGATTTGAACCAGGAACCTGGGCTTTGCCCAGCCGGCTCTTCACCACCAAGATTTAATGATACTATCGATACAGTTTTGTTTTTTGCGAGCTAACCACAAGGATACCATTGTGTGCATTTATAACACAATTTTAATGTATAAATCAGTCATTCAGCTATTCTGCTCAAGAGATTCATGGTCAGCTTGAGTTACTGCATTTTAGCCAATGATTTGATTTTAATGTTCCGGGGGTTGTTACTCTTAGGAGAAAATAATAAATTAGTTTGTCATGCAAAATTAGTAGAAAATTTTTATTCATCGAATATAAACTATAAGAAAATGGTGTAATATGAATAATAAAAATGGCATGACTAGCTATGCAATATTAAGATAACAAAAGAGCTACAAAACATTACAAATAAAATAATATATCAAGCAAAAATATGATGCTAAAAATTAAAATCCAAATAAGTATAAAGCTACAAAGGAGTAGCAAAATATTAAGAAAAATAACGAATGGGTGAAGGATCTTCTTCAGACCGATCAAATTCATACTTGCAGTCGTGCTCTCTGAAGCCCTACTCATCATAACTAAAATCTTATACTATATTTTTATGTGATATTCATTTTGTTGTTTTTCATCTATAGATTTATGTTGACATTTTATTTTTGGAGAAAAGGAGCGGTTCAACCTCTTTGCTCTGCTCACTCTTACACTATTTCGAATGGCGAGAGGATCAGTGGGGATGATGGACTATCCAGCCCTTAATTTTGGCCTCAATCCAGCTGTGAAAATGAAATCTCTGTTGCCCTTGAAAGCCTAGAGTTAATGTTGTGTGCAGGGGATCACGGAGAAGGCAGGAGAACAGCGACTGGCTTTTCACATTAGCCGTTTGATCGGGTTTTGTATTGATTTAGAAGGGCTTTACTTACATGATAGTAATGATTGAGTGCTACAATTGGAAAGGATAAACCTAGTTGATTAGATTGAATTAGGCTTGCTTCGATTTTAAATTGATTCAAGCAAATTTGGTTTTAATCGTATTTAATTGGAGACCTCTCATCATAATCAAATTTGCTTACTGTGAGCTAATGAAATCTTGATTGATTAAATTTATTTAATGTATTTTAGTTTAGTTCCATTTATATAGAGCAGTATTTGTAATATAATCATAAGCACAAGGGGCTGTAGGTAGTTGTGTTGAACCTTCATGAGAAAGATAATCATCATCATTTCCTTCAAAATAAGAGTAAGGAAAAAGAAAATATACATCTCTATCTAACTCATATATCGACATAATATTAAAGAAAACTAAAATATTAATTAATATAAAGAAAAAAATGGAATCAAATATATCTTTAATAACTAACTCATAGCACCTAGTACATGTATAAAAATATATATAAATACTAAATCAATAAAATAACTATATACACATTCAAAAATTACTTCTTTTTTGTATTGTTATGGATGTCTTTCTTGTATGTTGGATTGTATTGCTAATGATAATCTCTTTGAAGCTCTCTCTATCAAGGGTCAAAGACTTTCCCACCTTATGTATGTTGATGATCTTATCATTTTTGGGAAAGCTGATATAAACAACTGTAAGGGACTTGGCCAAATTCTTAAGAATTTTTCTATGGCCCCAGATCTGGAGGTTAATTTTGGGAAGAGTTCCATCATCTTGCCTCCTAATTGTCAATTGGCTGATACAATTTGCTCTCTCTTTTGCATTCCTGCTACCTCCACATGCATTTCATATCTTGGGGTTCCTTTATCCCCCTATAATCTTAAGCTTGCTAGTTTCCCTAAGTTGATGGAAAAAGTTACCTACAAACTCTTAGGTTGGAAAGCAAAAGTTTTATCTTTTGTCGTTAGGCTACAATTCCTTAGGTACACTATTTGGAACACTATTGCTTACTGGATTCGTTGGGCCATTATACCGAGAACCATTATTAAGCGATTTGACAAACTTTGCGCTAAATTTCTTTATTTTGGTGAGACTACATGCCGAAAACTACATTTAATCTCGTGGCATAACCCTTGCAAACCAAAGTTGTGGGGGGACTTTGGCTACCTTCCTTGTAATCTATTCAATTCAATTTTAATAGCTCACTGATTGAGAGAATATACAATTATCAAAGTCCCCCCTACTCTGTGGATGTTGAACATATATATCTCTCCTTGGAAGGATCCTATTTCTAAAGCTTCCAAATTTTGGAAAAGTTTATGTAGAGATGCAAATCTAACCAAAGAAAATTTTCATTTTAAGGTTACTCCTAACTCCCATTTATCACTTTACTGGGATCACTGGTTTAATGGAAAACCTTTAATTGAAATTTCGGAGCTCTCTGCACAACCTCAACGCAGACCGTTAGATAATAACAAAACTCCTTTAATCCTAGTCTTACACCTGTACACCAGTTGCACTTAGATATACACATTAATTACATGAAAATGGCAATGGGCATTTCCTCATCTTGAGCTGTCTTTGGTTCTTGCACCTCACTTCTTCCAGTTACTGTACTATTTAAGGCTGTGTAATTATATACTATTAAAACCAATTTTGGAAAGTTGAAGCGAAATGTTCAAAGATTTTGATTGTTGAAGTTTCCTTTATTAGTGATACTGTCGATACAGTTTTATTTTTTGCCAGCTAACCACAAGGATACCATTGTGTGCATTTATAACACAGTTTTAATGTATAAATCAGTCCTTCGGCTATTCTGCTCAAGAGATTAATGGTCAGCTTGAGTTACTGCATTTTAGCCAATGATTTGATTTTAATGTTCCGGGGGTTGTTACTCTTAGGAGAAAATAATAAATGAGTTTGTCATGCAAAATTAGTAGAAAATTTTTATTTATCGAATATAAACTATAAGAAAATGGTGTGTAATATGAATAATAAAAATGGCATGACCAGCTATGCAATATTAAGATAACAAAAGAGCTACAAAAGATTACAAATAAAATCATATCTCAAGCAAAAATATGATGCTAAAAATTAAAATCCAAATAAGTATAAAGCTACAAAGGAGTAGCAAAATATTAAGAAAAATAACTAATGGGTGAAGGATCTTCTTCAGACCAACTAAATTCATACTTGCAGCCGTGCTCTCTGAAACCCTGCTCATCATAACTAAAATCTTATATTATATTTTTATGTGATATTCATTTTGTTGTTTTTCATCTATAGATTTATGTTCAGCTTTCTATCTTCTTGGGTAGCATAGCCGGGTCTTAAGACTTCCCAAAAATGACGATGACGACAAGTAATGCATTTAGTTTTTTTTTTTTTTTTAATATATGAGGTATTGAAGGGTAACAATGTTTAAAATAAGAACAAATCTACTCTTAGAACTAAAATAGTGTGTTCTATAATTACATTGATTTTCGTAACTTTACGTAAAATTAACATTTTAGCCGACCCCACAGTGAGATTAAGGCTTGATGTTGTTGTTATTATTATTACATGTAATATTAGCATTTACATTTATTTTGTTATTTTATTTTATTTAGTATTATCTTAGTATATGTTAACCTTCAAATGGAGAGCCAATCTCAATCCTAACCATTGTTTCTATCTTTGACATAACGATCATCAAATCTTTAGGTGGACAACTCCGTAAGAACACTAAATTTTAATGGTTTGGATGCTTTGGAACACATTACAGAACTACCATATTTTATATTTCATGTTTTTGTAATAACAAAAACAGAGAGGGGATCGATGATTAGCAAAGATATCATTTTTTGCAATAATAAAACTTTACTTTTTCATTTGATTGTTTGGTGTTATATTTCTGATTGATTGGATGAATTTTCAATTTTCTATCATGAACTATTGTCAAGATCTGTAAATTTCTTAAGCAAAAGCAAAATGAACTATTGTCAAGTATCTGTAAATTAATCTGATTCATGTCAATTGTAATCAAGATGAAAGGAACAAATCAATTTCAAATGTATCAAACCTTTTATTTTAATTTATTGAAGACCCAAAAGTTTTTATAAAGCGGGAGGATTTTTATAAATAAATAAACAGAATCAAAGCAACAGCTGACAATGAGGTTTGTGGCTGTTGGTTGCTTATCAAGATTTTTTTTCTGAGAGGATATAGACTCAACGAGCTTTGTGGCTGTACCTCTATTTTTACAAGAAATTATTCTATGCGGTCATCACACCGTCTGGAGGTGAGTTACAACGTGTCACATCATCTACTATATAGTATCGGTACATAACAAAAAAGGGACGTGACACATCCTATTTTGCCTCCTGACGGCGTCCGGTGACCGCACAGAATAATTTCTCATTTTTAAAAGCTTTGCAATGGATAGCGGATGGGCAGGGCTATAGAGCGGTTTTTCCATCTTTAATCAAAGCCAAAAACATCCATTTATTTCATTTTATTTTTACTTTGCTTATTTGCTAATATATTTTATTTTTGTATTAAGTTTTTTCGTTTATAATTCATATTTTGTTTTATAATTTTTTTTTCTATCATACCTTACTACTTGCAGAAGACCAAAGAGAGCAATGCAGTCACTTTATTATTCCTCGAAAAAACTTACAAGTACGTCTTCTTACATGAAATGAAACTGCGGGAAGAAGATTACATGTAAATTGGAGCTATTTGAGCTTCAACAAAACAAGAAGTGAAACTCACCCAGAAAAGGCAAAAAAAACCCTCTCTCAATTTGGAAGAGGAAAAAACTAAAAGCCAAACTTACAGAAGTAAATGGAAAAATTAAGCCAAGAAAAAAGGCTAAAAAACGAAAGCCACGAGAGCCAGGACTCAGATATATTCACATAAACATTCTGCTCAGAAAACAAGCACGAACAGTTCCCCTGGTTGCCCAAAGATCATCCAAGGGGAAAGGTCTGATTTGAGGGAAATCATCATCATCTATGGCAGGCCAAAATCCCTCCAGACCAATAGAAATAAACTTAGAAGCAGAGCTGAATCATGCAAAACCCCATATTTCACCAAGTTCGACTTAAAGGCAATTAAGGCACACCAGCAGATAAAACATTACAGAGACATTATACCTTCAACAGCTCTTTTAGACAGTCCCCCTTCTTGATTTTGAGGCAAATAGTAAAAGAATTTCCAGCTAAATCACCAAACTTTCCTCCAAATACGATAAATAATGCAGCAAGTAATAAGCAAATAAAAGATCTTAGCACTACCAACATATACACTTAACTTTTCTCTGAAATATCTCACAAATAATTTCTTCTTCTATGATAATCACATTAAACATACAACAGAAAGCAGTAAAACAACGACGAGGAATGACAGACCCGCCCAAAGCAAAGCCCACAAACAGCGATTGACTATGGCATAAACGCTCACTCACAGCAATACAAAAAACACACACCCTCACTATAATACAAACAACACCACAACAACATAATAATCCTAACAAATCTCCAACAATCGACTTAATTAGAGATTTGTATCGTAAACATAAGGTTGTTTACTATATCGAAGATGATGTCCATCACCGGAGACTCTTACTCTTGGAATGTGTTGAATTAGATCCCAATAAGAACCTTCTTTTAAGCATTCTCGAACAACCATCTTATTGCACAATATTGAAAGCTGGAAGTCATCATTAGAATCATTTTGCAACCCCCGTTGTCGCAATAACAACAATAGAGACTCTGGAAGACTCTTCTTATGAACATCATGGAAATATAATTCCTGCAATGAATCAAGCTTCTCCATGCAAGAAAAGGCATTGCAAGCTACGATCCTGAGCTTCTTTAATTTAGGGAGGCAACCTAACTTTTCAAAATCTTTACAACAAATCATATCCAGTTTCTCAAGTTCAATAGGAAGATTATCCAATGATTTCTGTATGCCGGAAAATTCTATATTGAGTGACTTCATTGGCGTGTGCTTTAGATCTTTTGGAAACTGTTTTAGTAATGGACAGTATCTGATTTTTAGTATATGCAAGCATGGCATCAACTTTAGCCCCGGAGAAGCATTACAAGTGACTTGTGCATCAAAAGACCACTCTTCTAACAAATTCATATTTCCTATGTAAAGTTTCTCAAGTTTGGGGAAAGCAGCTCCAGTTGTTAATTTTACATCAATACCAAGGAATTCTGGCCCAATTTTCTTCACTTTACTTGCATGATTTATATCAAGAACTCTAAGCTCAGGCAACTGGCCTAATGGTGGGAGCTGAGTGCATGATGTTATCTTAAAGATTTCTAATTTAGTTAAATATGGAACACAAATTTCAAAGGATGACAAGTTCATCCAGTTTGGGAAACGGCGGCCGAAGAAGCCTGATATTTGAAAATTTTCTAGGCTTTGTGAAGGTATTATCTTGTCAAAAAGCTCCTCTACTGCGAGCTCTTGTTCCTCACCGGGAATTGGGGGGACAACAGAGAACTTCAACGTCAAAGTAGAAAGGTTGGGTAGGTCTTTAAGAATTATGGTTTTACTTTGAGCTTTCTCTAAGTTGCAAATGCTGAGTGTTCTTATCTGTTTCAGAGAATTCAACTCTTCCAATTTGCTGCAAGAGTCATTATTGGCCACCACGAAGCTATTGAGATAATTAAGTTGTTGCAACTTCTCTATTCCTTGTGGAATGAAACTAATAGGTGTCTCAGAAAAATCAATGAGCCTTAGATTGTACAACCAAGTGATTCCACTAGGAAGTTGTATCAAATTTTTGCATTTACGAATGTTCAAAAATTGTAGGTTTGTTAATTTCTTTATAGATTCTGGTATTGCTCTTATGCGTGTATCAACCAAATCAAGATACCTCAAATGCACCAGATTTCCTATGGAGTCAGGAAGTACTTCAATTTGTGTATGACCAATGTCCAAGACATGCAGATGCAAAAGCCGACTCAATCTTTGATCATCCAACAACAAATCAGAATGTGAGGCAAGCAAGGTTCTCAAGGCTCCCTGGTCTGCAACATAATCAAGCATTTTTATTGCTGCTTTTTGATGAACAACTGATAGACGACGAAGCTTAATGGATGTGGTGGTGTTCTTCACATTCAAATCTCCAAAAGAAGTTTCTTCTTTAGATAAAAAAATAGCTAGAGATCTCATAAGATCATGCATTTTGCCATAATTTTCAAAATCATACCGTGGTAGTAGAAGATTCCTCTTAAGTAACTCATTGAAGCATTCTTCTGCTGAATCTTCCATTAATAATTTTTTTTGCTCATTTATGAACCCTTCAGCAACCCAAAGTCGAACAAAATTAGAGCGATCTAACAATGTATCCTCGGGATATAATGAGAAGTATAGAAAGCACTGCTTGAGATGTGAAGGCAGATCTTCAAAACTAAGATACAGAGCACCACTAACCCCCTCAGGAAGGTTGCTAATGGACCATGCATCATTCTTGAGAAAATTTTCCCACACTTTCCTATTGCGCTTTTTCCCGGCAAGCACAATAGCAATAGCTTTAATTGCAAGAGGAAGGCAACCACATCTTCTTACTATCATAAATCCTAGTTCCTTCAAGTCATTAGCTAGCTCCATTTGTCTCTCTGAGAAAAGCCTCCTTCGAAGCATATCCCAGCTGCTCTCTTCAGAAAGATGCTTCACAGGATGAATATGCGCTGCCTCCATATCCGTAGCAACATTTTCATATCTAGTTGTGACTAAGACTCTGACATTCACGTTAGATGTGTATAACGGGACTCTAAGCAAATCAACCCATACATCCCCTCTCCACACATCATCTAAAACAAGAAAAAAGCTCTGGCATGAAGCAACAGAATTACTGAGAATGATTTGTAGCTCTGATTTAGTATTAGCATCCCCGTAGCTCCCCTTAGCCCCTCTTATTACTTGCTTCAACAACTCAATTTCTGAGTAAGTCTGTGAAACACAAACCCATACAGGATCTAAATTGAAAAAGGTCTTAATTTTCGGATGGTTAAAAATTTTTTGAGCCAGAGTCGTCTTCCCTATCCCACCCATGCCAGTAACTGCAAAAAGACGACATTTTTCATCAACCACCTCCACAAGTAAACGATCGACCAAACTATTTGCTGCAACCTCTACCTCTCTTCCCACAACAAAAGGATCATCCATGGAAGAAGTTTGACGAGAATCAACTTGAGTAATTTGTGGGGTTTCTGATATTGTGGATTTCTCTAGTTTAAATTGTTTCCTATTTTCATATATCTTGTCGAGTCTATTATTAATTTCCTCAATTCTGTTTCCGATCTCGTGACGCAAAGGAACACTGGTAAAACAAGAGAGGACAGATGAGAAATCACAACGTACTGACGAAGTTCTAGATTCAGGATTTTGATCAGCGAGCAGCTGAGCTCCCTCGATTCTGCAGAGGTCAATGATATCCTCGGCATCGTACATCACATCCTTAAGCTCAGAAAGCCAGAGTTCAGTGGATGACTCACCAAATTTTTTCTTTTCAGCGTCTTTAAGCAGGCATTGGATGCTCCTCATCCGACCACGTAGCTCTTGAAGATCTTCTTTCACACCTAGCACTCTGATCACCTCTTCATAGACAAAATCAGCGAGCAAAGCAGAGAATTTACTCATAAAAGCATCCAAGATCATCGCCATCTGAGCTTGCTGAAGAAGGAGAATAGCTTAGCTTAACTTGCAGGATCTTTAAGGAAGCTAGTAAAATTGAAGGAAGATAGATGCAGATGGGAAAGGAAATCAAGAAGCAAACAACTGCCGTGGGCCAAAACGGAAGTTTTTTTTTTTCTTTCTGACGGGCTACTTTATCACAAAAGAATCTCACGGGAGATAGATGGAGATATTTTAATCTACGTCTATCACTTCTTTTGAGAGAAAAATAATAATAATATAACTTCTTTGTGAGATAAGAATTACAGAAATATGAAATATATTAAAAATCTTGTGATATAATTTAAAATAATAAAATATTATTAACTAAGAAATTTAATATTTTCAATAATATTGAGTTACTTCTTAAATTGATATATAAAACAATATCTTAAATTATTAAATTTATTTTAAAATTGATGATAGAGCCAGAGTCGTCTTCCCTATCCCACCCATGCAGTAACTGCAAAAGACACATTTTTCATCAACCACCTCCACAAGTAAACGATCGACCAAACTATTTGCTGCAACCTCTCCTCTCTTCCCACAAAAAGGATCATCCTGGAAGAAGTTTGACGAGAATCAACTTGAGTAATTTGTGGGGTTTCTGATATTTGGGATTTCTCTAGTTTAAATTGTTCCTTATTTTCATATATCTTGTCGAGTCTATTATAATTTCCTCAATTCTGTTTCCGATCTCGTGACGCAAAGGAACACTGGTAAACAAGAGAGACAGATGAGAATCACAACTTACTGACGAAGTTCTGATTCAGGATTTTGATCAGCGAGCAAGCTGAGCTCCCTCGATTCTGCAGAGGTCAATGATATCCTCCGCATCGTACATCACATCCTTAAGCTCAGAAAGCCAGAGTTCAGTGGATGACTCACCAAATTTTTCTTTTCAGCGTCTTTAAGCAGGCATTGGATGCTCCTCATCCGACCACGTAGCTCTTGAAGATCTTCTTTCAACACTAGCACTGCTGATCACCTGCTTCATAGACAAATCAGCGAGCAAAGCAGAGAATTACTCATAAAAGCATCCAAGATCATCGCCATCTGAGCTTGCTCTGAAGAAGGAGAATAGCTTAGCTTAACTTGCAGGATCTTTAAGAGAGCTAGTAAAATAAGGAAGATAGATGCAGAGGGAAGGAAATCAAGAAGCAAACACTGCCGTGGCCACGAAGTTTTTTTTCTTTCTGACGGGACTACTATCACAAAAGAATCTCACGGGAGATAGATGGAGATTTTTAATCTACGTCTATCACTTCTTTTTGAGGAGAAAATAATTAATAATATAACTTCTCTTTGGACTGAATTACAGAAATATGAATAGTATTAAAAATCTTGTGATATATTTAAAATAATAAAATATTATTAACTAAGAATTTTAATATTTTCAATAATATTGAGTTACTTCTTCAATTGATATATAAAATAAAAAAGCTCATTTCAGTGATCAAATTATTGTTTAAAAATATTTTAAATTATTTTATTTTAAAAATTATATATATATATATATACTATATATACTATATATATATTATCATCATAAAAAAAATTAATAAGCTCTAAATCAAAAATTTATAAATAATTCTCAATATAAATAGTTTTCAGGCATATCTCATGACTAATGTAGAGAGAGATATGGATGAATTTAAACTCTCATAATGTATTTTCATGAAAAGAAGAATTAATTTATCCTATTTTTCCTTTAAATTAGTTTCTAGCTTAAAATTTGTTTTTTATTAATCTTAAATTAGACTTAATGATTTTATTTTTTCGTTATTTTTTAAGAACATTACCTCTTCTATGTTTTTAGGAATCAATTTTTCATTATTTTAGGGCAAAATTTATGTTACAATATTTTGAAAAACCTTAATAATGCAAAATTTTTAAATTTATTCAATTTATTTAGATTAAAAAAAAATTTAGCTAGAAAAATAATTCCCCAAAAAAGGAAGTAAAATTTATATGATTTTGATTAAAATTTTCATAATACCAGGGATTTTTTATTAAATTCAAAAATTTTATATTTATTTAACAAATTAATTATATATTATTTAATATTTTTAATTTCCAAATATAATAATTAAATATAATTATAATTTTACAATTTTATATAAAATTTTTAAAATGTTATTTATTTATATTATTTAAATATCATTCTAAATATTATTTAAATATTTTTTTTAAAATATTAGAAAAACTAGTTAGTCTCTCTCCAGGTCTCTCTCTTCCCCATTTCTCTCTGTCACTCTCTTCTCTCTATTATTAAGTTGAATGCGACGATTTGATGTATAAAATTTTCTCAATTATATTTCTTCTTTTTGACTAAGAACAGTGGCATTATTGTTTGCAATTATTACTCTCTTTTTTAATAAAATAAATAAATTGAGTATGATAAATTTCTGGGGAACTTAATTTCATGTAGTAATGTGAATGCTTTAGTTCACAAGTTGATTCGATTAATCTTAGTTTTGTTAACTTTAATTTAAAAAAAAATTCAAATATTTAGTCATAAACTTAAAATTTTTAAATTAAATATTAAGGAATAATTAATTAAAATATCATTATTTTTCTTTTACTTTAAATATAAATTTTAAA